AAACGAGAAGCAGAAACTTGGCGTAAGCGTGGCACTTGCGTTACACCCACACTGCTGTTGTGAGGTTGGATCCCGAGGGTGTTTGCTGATGCTGGGAGGTACTGACATCGCCGGAGCCTTGCCGGCGCGCAGTTGGGGCCTGGGCTGCCAGCCAGACGTCGCTAGATAAAGTTATCCCTTCCATGGCTGGAGGGCCAGTCCTTTGGCAGCTGCTTCCTTTTGAAGAGCTCAGATCTTATTAAATAATAGAGCCTGGTGAGAAGTCCTCTCAGTCAGTGAAAGTAGGTGAGTGTGATATATATTCTTTAGTGACTGAAGAGATTGAACGAGGGCTTATATTAGGAGTTCCTCCTTTTGGGGGAGAAGTAGGGTACCGCACTCCTTTGTTGTGGGCGGCTGGTTTCAGATGCTTATGGGCATATGCCCAAATGTGGCTGTAGTTGCTTGCTGGGTCAGTAAAGCTATCCTGCAGCATGCCCTGTTTCTGTAGCTGCAATAATAAGTGTGAAGGCAGTAATGAAGGTGTAAAGCAGGGGCAGGAACATGGGGAACCATGCTGCAAGCGTGGCTGCCGTTAGCCCCGGGGCTGCCTGTTGTGCACGCTGGCTCAGCATCTGAGCATCCGTCTGACTGCACAGGCGCTGTGGGCTGTTCTCCGTCAAGTGCGAGGAGCTCACAGGAGTTAACTACCACCAGCATGAGGCCCTAGCACGTTGTGTGGCCATGGGATGGGGTGTATGTGTGATGGCGAGAGGAAGCACGTCCTGTCGGGGGGAGCTGCTCGATTGTCCGATCTTGGGCAGGTCTGTGGTCAGACATTTTCCTTTCAGTTCTCTAAGTCAGAAATTATTTTCTGTTTCAGGCATGTTCTGTGTATCTGGAAGTTAATCTTGTATATTGTGTTGGCTGCTACTAAGCTGGTCAAATTTATCTTTAAAGGAGTTCACAGCAGGTCCAAAAACCAGACTTTTACCAGTGGTCTATTAATTTTGTTGATCTAGTTTCATTGTATCTTATCTTTTGTTGTTGCTGTTGCTATCAATTTAAGACCAGAGAAACTCTTAAGACTGTCTGGTTTAGCCTCTTGTATAAGACAAGACTTCACTGACGGTCCTGCATCCAGCAGGGTGCCAGTGTGCCGAAGTTGGAGCAGCTCCTGGCATGTTGGAGCTTCGGTCCTCATTTTGGAGCCTTTCAACTATAATTTTTCATGGTCACATAGGAATTAGGACTTCTCCTCCCAGTAGCCCAACTTCAATACTAAGATTAGTTGTTCTCTGGGTACCCAGCCCCCTGAGCTGCAAGACATGGATGAGGATCAGGATGAGGTCCCCATAATCCAAGGGGAAATGGTTAGTGACCTGCTGCACTGCTTAGACAGACACAGGTCCATGGGCCTTGGGATCCACCCCAGGGCACTGAGAGAGCTGGTGGAAGTGCTCACCGAGCCCCTTTCCCATCATCTATCAGCAGTCCTGGTCAGCTGGGGAGGTCCCAGTTGGCTGGAGGTCAGCCAGTGTGACAACCGTCTACAAGAAGGGCCAGAAGGAGGATTCGGGGAACTACAGGCCTGTCAGCCTGACCTCGGTGCAAGGGAAGGTTATGGAGCAGATCATCTTGGGTGCCATCACACAGCACGTACAGGACAATCAGGTGACCAGGCTCAGTCAGATGGGCTTATGAAAGGCAGGTCCTGCTTGACCAACCTGATCTTCTGTGACAAGGTGACCTGCTTAGTGGATGAGGGAAAGGCTGTGGATGGAGTCTGCCTGGACTTTACTAAAGCCTTTGATA